GAAATTTCTAATTTTATAACAGATGACCATTTTTATTAATAAATCATCAAGTCAATTAACAATTTTTAATGGTATCATAAATTTATTTCTATTAATAATTCAAGTAATTTTATCATTGTATAGGAGAGTAATTAGGAATTTTATTTTTTTGATTAATTATTTTAAATAAAAAATTCTAACAATGGGATATTTATAATTTTTTAAATCACCGGGAACAATATGTATTTTAAGCAAATCTCAAAAAGTGTATTTGTAATTTGACCTGATTGTTTTTAAATGAAACTCAACAAACTTTTTAGTGCTGTGATGTCCTTAATTCTATTCCTCTCAATATTGTTTTTGTTTCCAAGTGACTAAGTGACATAATTGTTGAGAATGACATAATTTAATTGTATTTTTTTTTTTTATTGAAGCAAACAAAATTAGTCTTGCATGAGATATTATGTTAGAATCAACTATAAAAGTTTCTAAGCATTGAGTAAGATTTTAGAAAATGCTTTGGTTGCAAACTAGTAAATTAATTCTTTCTACTAGTAAATACCATGGACTATTTTGATCAAACTAACATTTCATACTAAAATTACATAAAGAAGATTTTTTTTTTTTTTTTTTAAAAAAAAAAAAAACCCAGAGGACGCATAGAGGATTAACTCAAGTTTTCCATAGCCAAGTTTAAGCATGGCCACATTAAACGATGTGCACTTCAATTGTAATATTTATACTAAGATTAAACATGACCACACTAAACAAAATAAACTCAGTACTTGGTTTGCTAACAGTGAGGAGGTGGAAGCACACATTGGGAGCATTCATAAACGGCATGAAATCTGCATAAAAATAACCCGGCAAATTATACCGGTGGTTCCTAGATTTTACTCCTTACATCATTTTGATCCCTCCATTTTCAATTGGCTCAATTTTGACTCTTAACTTTAAATTTTGTGTCAATTTGGTTCAATTGATAATGTCATTAGTGTTCTTGATAGTATAATCACTGAATTAGTTGAGTTTAACTCACTGAATTTAATAAATTTATAAGTTTATAAAAATGACACATGCCACTTATATGCATATTTTTCATAAATAAAAAAAAAATGCTGAGAGCTGTAATCAATTGAACCAAATTGAAACAAAATCATAAATTCAGAGTCAAAATCGAGTAAATTAAAATTATAGGAACTAAAATGATACAAAAATTAAAATACAAGGACTATTATCACAATTTGCCCAAAATATTTCTTACAAATATGTAGGTGCCCACTATTTTGTAGAAGCCATGGTTTGCATGTTTATGCTGAAATGTATTCATGTGTGTGTAGATATATATATATATATATATATCTATATATAATTACTTTTCCTATTGCAAGTTATTAGTTTTTCTACTCCAAGGACATTGAAAAGATTTTGTACTTGGAGCAACATAGCCTATGTTCCCCTTATCACAACTGAATTGCTTTGATCTTGTGCCACGTCACTTGAAACAGTAGAAATAATTTCTGATAACCCGAAGTCTCCAATAAGGGCCGTCATCTCATCATCCAAAAGAACATTGCTTGGCTTTAAATCACCATGAATAATTGTACCACAATGAAGATACTCAAGTGCAGAAGCGACATCAATGGAAATATCCAATCTCTGGATTAGTTTAAGATTTCTAGGTTCTTCTGGTTGCCCATGGTTTCCCACTCCAACTTCATGTAGCCATTTGCCTAAGCTTCCATTGGCCATAAATTCATATTCCAAAGCTTTGAATTCATCACCATTGAAATCCACACTAGAACAAACTCTCAAAATTTTCAGTAGATTTCGATGTCTTATTGCTCTTAGTACTTCGCATTCTGTCATGAAGCTCCTAGAAGCTCCTCTGGTCTAAAGATTGAGCACTTTCACTACCATAACCATTTGAACTTGATCAAGATTCCTTTGTAAACTGAAGCATAACTTCCAACACCAATTAGATTAGCCTTTGAGAATCCATTGATGGCTTTGAGAAGCTCTGCATAAGGAACCCTCAAAAATTGATGCATGATTGAGGCTTGCAAGAGGCCTTTGTTTTTGAAACATGATGTCGTTGAAGAAATATGAAGCAGCTAACGAACAAAGATAAAAATATCACAAGACCAACCACCAGTATGATCACTTTCATCTCGTGAGATAGATTATTCTTGCTTGATTTGACGGATGGACATGGAGGAAGGCCTAATTTTACAATACCTCCACACAGTTCATTATTTCCAACAACTGAAATTGTACTCTCATTTTGTGGTGGACTCACGAAGGCCCAATAACAACCTTTAATTAGGATATCTAATTAGAGAAGAGCCTCTCCCACTGCAATTTACCCAAATATATAGTGCCTCGCCGTATTTAATTACCAATTGTAGCTTGCATCAAATTGTTGGAGCATTAGATGAGACTGTTGTCGATTTTTTATTTTTTATTTTTTTATAGATATTTCAAAGTTTTATTAATTTTTTTTTAAGATTAATTATACTGACACCTCTCAAGATTTCAGTTTAATATAGATTTTCCCCACACATTTAAACTCTACTGTCAGATTAAAATGATAAGTTTGCCCTTTAGCCTTTTTACATATAAAATAATAAAATAATGAAGATATTTTATTCATGTCATTTTAAAGAAAGTAACAATCATCTTCTTTCATTTGACTCACATAAAAAAATTGAGTTTTTTTTTAAAATTTTATTTTGCGTGTTTTTTTTTTATATTTTTATTGAATTTTTAAAAATATTTTAAGCAATTTTATTTGTTATTTTTTGGATACACCTAATCTAGATATATTTAAGAAGTATAATATTTTGTGAATTTTTTTTTAAATTCACCAAATAAAAGAAAATTAAAAAGATACAAAAATTCCATATATTATCTTATTTTATTGTATTCCATAGATTTTTATAATTTTTTTGGTACAAATTTTATACTTTTTAAATATATTTAGATTAAATTGATCTAATTTAGATATAATGGTGGAAATAAAAAAATAAAAATTATATTAATATATAAATATTTATACAAAGCCTCCGTTTGGGAAGTGAGTTGGCTTTTTGGCTTTTTGGCTTTTTTGGCTATTTTAGCCTGAGCTTAAAAGCTTGGTTTGGGAAGGGCTTTTTGGCTTTTTGACTTTTTTGAGTTTTTTTGTGAGAGAAGAATGTAATGATTATGGGTTAGATGTGATGTTTTGTTTGTTATGGCTAAAATAGCCTATTTTGTCTTTTATGACTAAAATAGCCAAAAAAGCCCAAGAACCAACTTGCCAAACAGAGGCAAAAAGTATCATAAAAATATTACGATAGTGATATTGTCGTAAATATAAATCATGTTTATGGATGTTTTGTTTTAAAGTGAAAAGTCCATATTAATTTATATCATTATGTTTAAATTCAGGTAGAATTTAATAATGAAAAGTTGTAGAATATAATCATGATGATAAGAAGAAGAAATGATAGGAAAAAGGGCAAAATGGTCATTTAAAAAATTTTAGGACATGACATTAGCAATTCAAGAGGCAATTTATAATGAGATTACAAACCTTAGGAATGAGAATATAATTTTTTAAATGTGAGGGAGAGATCTGTATTAAACAGAAATCTTAGGCGGTGTCAGTATAATTTACTCATTTTTTTTATTAAATGTCTTTAGAGTTTCTAGCAATATATTTTTTTTTCTTTCCTTTTTTTTTTTGTTTTGTTTTGTTTTTGTTTTTTTGTTTTATTTGTTTTTTGTTTTGTTTTGTTTTTGTTTTTTGTTTTTTTTTGTTTTTTTTTTTTGCCTTCCATGTAGGTTTAATATAGCAAAGTGCTTGGAGATGATGTTATGATAGCTTATCAGGATATTTTATTTCTTAACATTAGCTTTTAAAGTTTTTGTTTTTTATTAATATATAAATTTATTCTTAAAGTTAATTTTTTTAAATCTAAAATTAACTAAAAAAATGTCATATTAATAGTCACATAATATAAAATATATTAATATATTTAACATACACCCTTAATATAAATTTAAACTCAAACATAATAAATTTTTTTTATGTCATGTACAATCAACATCCTATTTTTATCTAATTTTTACATAAATTAATTTTAAAAAATTAAAAACTATAAGCTAAATAAGAAGCAAAAAATTCAAGAGTTAAAAATAAAAAAAAAATAATAATAAAAGTGCAAAAAGTGTAATTTACCTAACTCATTGGTGGTGTTTGGTGTAGCTTTTTTTAGCCAGCTTATAGATTTTAAATTTGGAAAAATCATTTTGGACTATTTAGTTAAATTTATTTCAAATAGTTTCTAATTTTAATAACTTATTTTAACTCAAAAAATTGATTATAAGAAGTTGTCCACCCAATGTTTCTGATTATCAATTTCTGTTGTGGGTATATTAATATATGATTATACCCTAAATTTTTTTTTTTTGAAAAAATATAAAATGACCCAAATGGACTGTAGATTATTATTATTATACAAAAAATGTAGACTACTAGTGAATAATAAAGAATAAAGGTTTATTTAATTTGTAATTAACAGTGGTAAAAATGACATTTACACATAAAAAAAAAATTATTTCACAACTTATCTGCTAAATACTACTCAACAACTTAAATCTATAATCTAAACAGATTAACAATCTGTCAAGTTATAATATATAATTTATTTTAACAGTTGCACCTAATACCCCATTATTTTAACAGCTTATAGATTTTAGTTTTGGAAAAATTATTTTAGACTATTTGGTTTAATGTATTTCAAACAATTTCTATTTCTAATAATTTATTTTAACCAAAAAAAACTAATTCTAAGAAACTGTCCACCTTCTGTTTATGATTATTAGTTTTTTCTATGGATATTTTAATTTACAATTATACCCTTAGAATTTTTTTTCTTTTGTGAAAATATAAAAAGACCCAAATGGATTGCAGATTTTCTATTTTTTATGAAAAATGTAGACTAATAATGAATAATAATAATAATAAATTCATTAATTGGCAATTAACAAGAGTAAAAATAACATTTACACATAAAAAAAAAAAAAAAAAACTATTTACAACTTATTTAATAATACAGTTTTGTTGGGTAACTCAAAAATTGGCTGCCTCGACGTTTTGGCACCTTATTTTTTGTTAATTTTTTTTTCCCTTCCCCCTCTCTTTTCTCTATCAAACACCAAACTCTAACAAACAGAGAGGCGAGGCGATGGTGAGAGAAAGAGAGGAGAAGGAGGAACAGAGGAGGAGCAAAGGAGGAAGAGAAAGAGAGGACGCCAGAGGTGGCTTCACCGGCCAAATGGGAAGCCGCCAGAGTGGGTTTGCGGTGTTGAATCTCAACTTCCTCTTCTTCTTCCTCTACTCTCTCTCTCTCTCTCTCTCTCTCTCTCTCTCTAACAAACCCACTTTCTCTCTTTAAAAATTATCAAACCCCTTTATCTTCAACTTCCTCTTCTTCTTCCTCTACTTTCTCTCTCTAAAAACTACAAAACTCATCACAAAATTAAAGCAAACGCACTTGCTCTCTCTAAACACTATCAAACCCACCGCAAAATTGAAGCAAACCCAACAAGGATTATTCAGTTAACACTAACAAACAACATAAATCATCTAGATGCAAGACTTTGGTTCTGGTTTCTTCAATTTCTTTCTTTCTTTTCTCTGATTTTTTTTTTTTTATTTCTTTCTTCATGTTGTTTTTGGGGAGTTTTTGATTTGTACATGAGTTTTGCTCTAAAAAAATAGATCTGGAGAAAGAATGAGGGAGGGTGGTGTTGGGTTGGCCGAAGTTGGTGGGGGTGGGGAACAGGAGGCCGTAGGGTGCCGGCAGTTGCGGTGATAGGGTGGTCACGTTGGTGAGGGTCGCGGGAGACTTTGGATGGGTCTGAGAGAGATAAAGAGGTGAGAAAAAGTAGTATGTGTGAGGTCCAAAATCGAAGAGAGAGAGAGACTACTAAAATTTGGGCCATTGGGGGTTGAAATTTCGAGGTACACAGCTTTATTCTTAATAGTACTAGCCAATAACTTAAATTTATAATTCAAACAAATTAATAATCTATTAAATTATAATTTATAATTTATTTTAACAAATCACATCAAACATTTCATTATCCTTTCTTGGGCACCGCCAGGCCACCACCGTAGAAGCAACTTTTCCTCTCTGGGGTTTAACAGATCAACAAGCATGACAATTTTCTCTCTCTAGGGTTTAAGGTCATTTCTAACGTTTAATCAAATCCATCACCAAATTTGAATTTGGTGCAACATGACACTTTTTTGGTCTTCAACGGTTTTATCGAAGCTCTATCAAATTGAGAATGTGTCAAAATTTGCACCAAACTTTGCACCTTTCAACAATTTATTGTGCATAGCCATTGAGTGTGGACAACCGGCCGATGTCCGGCCGGATGTCCCCTCGGATGACCACCTCAAGGCATAATTTGTGAAAAATTTACGTTGATCAGTCAACCCCCCAGATGACCACCTCTACATCTTTTTTTGACTTGTACACCATTATGTTCATCAGGTAGAGAAACATAGGTGGCATGAGATGAATCTGATAGAGGTAACCAGATGGAGAATTTCAATCTCTCCTATGAGAACAAAACAAATATTAAGGAGGCATTGGAAAACAAGGGTTTTCCCCTAGAAAATGAATCTTGGCAGGTAGTAGAGATCAACAAGCTACTGCTAACAATGACCCATGGTAGAGAAATTCAAAATCAGCGAAAGTTCAAAGAAACTAAGAAATGTGAAACAAGCACATGTGAAAACACAACAAAAAATCAAAAACACCGAAGAAAACAAATACAAGGTGTTCTGGTTGAGTCCCAGAAAAGATTAGGAATATTATGCGCTAAAATTAGGCAAGTGTGAAAGAAAATTGAAACAGAGAAACCAAAAGGGGCATTTTTATTTATTTATTTTGAAATTTGTTGTGATATTCAATTAAACTATAAAATCTATTGAAAATTGAGACCAAAAACAGAATAGTAATCCGAGAATGTTTGAAGAAAATAGGAAACCAAAAAGGGCAATTTAAAAAATAAAATAAAAAAATTTGTTTTGTGGTTTTGAAATAAGACTGTAATTTCAATTGAACCCAAAACATAAGAGTTGAAAGTAAAAGAAACAAAGTTCAAAGAAGGACAAAAACTGGTACCAATGATACATACCTATCAACTAAAAATGGGTTCCTGGTTCAGAGAACAAGAAGAACAAGATTTTAAAGATGTTTTTGGCTTACCATGAAAGAGAAGCTTAAGGTTGTCGAAGATCTTTGGTTGAGATAGAAGAGAGAGCTGAAAAGCAAAGGCACTGTAGCAACCCAGAAGAAGCCTCAAAGAACTTCCACAATCACACCTAGAAAAGTTGTTACAGATTCTTCGGATTGCATTTGCTAGTTGACCGGCCGGACGACCGGCCGGTCGTCAACTTGTGTTTTACTGACAGCTAAAAATTCACCGATGGAGAGCTTGATATCAATAGAGGAATTCGTCAAATTTTTACTCAAATTTGATAAAATATTTGGTGAACTGCTAGAGATGCCCTAAGAACAACATCAATAATAGGAGGAGCAAGAGGCAATACCTCTTTCATCTCCACTCATCTGCAGGTGGCTCCACCACAGCTCCAGCCGCCACCACCTTTGCCAAAAATCTAGTTTTCGCTTTTTGTAAAAAACTAACAACACTTACCCTATTTGCCAATGCTCAATTGGCAATACGGACACAGTTGTGCTCAAGGAGAATTAAATCGCACTGTGTGTGTCTCACTCGTCCTCGAATCACACTGTTTTGAAGCAACAGATTCTGATGAGGGTTTGAGGAATTTGAGGAAGCTGGTGGAAAATAAGGGCATTGCATTTGCAGGTGTGTTTCTCAGCTCAAAACAACTCTACAAAGATAAGCTAGTATTCCTCTCTATGCTTTCTCTGTCTTCAAAAACCTTCCAAAGTATTATTCTTTAAATTGTCACTAATTTCTATAAAATTTTCATCTATTTAGTCCCAAAGTTTTTAATTTTGGTCCAATTGAAAATGTTTGTCTAAATAGTAACTGTCAAAACCTAATTTAATAATGTCTATGTCATTTCAAAAATTTGAACTACTTAAAGCATTTTACTAAGCACTCATTTTTTTCATTCACTATTTTGGATTGAGGAGAGAAGAAGAAGATGAACAACTTAAATTACACCACTAATATTTTTTTTTATTCACTTTTTTAAATGATGAGAGAAGAAGATGGATGCTTAATTGTAGGGGGTAAGTTATGTAATATAGTGTGGATAAGAAAATAGATGTTTGGTTGTATTGTATGATTTAAATTGTTCAAATTATAAAATTATCTTTTTGCTTGCTAGGTTTACACCATTACTGATTGTCTTCAATTTGACCATATCAACTGAAATTGGACATTGAATGACTAAATAGTTTGAATTGATAGCTTAGGAATTAAATAGAAAAAATGACCATAGTTTAGGAATAAAGGTAAAATTAACCAACATAAATGAAATTGAGGCAAATGATTGTGGTACATGTATTGTGCATGGAATCTATACTTTCGGATTATTATTTATTAGTTGTGCTTTTCATAAAAATATATTGTTAATTTGTTGTCTTGTATTGAGGATGGGCAAATCTGAAGTGAATTCAGTTATCTGCCCGAACTTGTAAATTGGCCTTGAGCATGGTCATTCCTAGTCTTTATTTTGAAAGATGCCGGACCCGATCACTGAATTTTGAAAACCATGTCTTCAAAAACCATGTCTTCAAAACTGAGAACAACTTCATTTTTCAATGGGAATTGAAGGAAACTTTATAATTGCAGTGTTTTTGGAAAGTCCAATTAGAAGATGGTTGAGATTTTGCACCGTTCAGTGGGAATTATTCACAGAAACCATGTTGAGCATATAACTACTTTCATCAAAGTGAGTGTGGATGAAGAGTCAAAGGACAATTTCGATTCTGATGTGCAGCCAACACCTAAGAAAAGCCTCACTTTCTGTGTTGAAGGAAACATCAGTGTTTGGAAGACAACTTTCCTTCGGAGAATAGCTAATGAAACACTTGAGCTGCAAGATCTTGTCGAGGTTACTCCTGAACTTATTAAAACTAGCAAGCTGTTGGACCCGATCACTTTAATATATTGGTTCATTATACGCTGAGCCACAAAAGCATGCATATACCTTGCAAAACTGTGTGTTTGTTACTAGTGTCAGTAATCTTTAATTTCTTTATGTAATGTGTCTCTTCCAACATACATATTTTTGAATTTTGATTATTTTAGCATATGACAAGGCATATTTGGCTCAATTAAGATCACCAAAAACACCCATATCAAGATTCTGTTTTGGTATCAAACAAAGCTACAAAGCAAATAATTTTTGATACATGGACATGCAATAATTTCAATGAAAAGTCAAGATACAACGAAAAGATAGTTTTAATTTAACAGGGATAAATATTGGTAATCCCAAGCACACAATCTTAGCTAGAAACATAACATCCCACCTGAACATATATTCAAGCAATAGATTAAAGATTGCTGAGGCAACAGTAACATAAAGCCACCACTTGTATTCTATTGGCTGTTGAAGTAGCATACTGTTGAGGTAACCATTATTGGAGGACCTTGGATGTAAACCTTAAGCAACAAAAGAATAAACATGCTTTAGTTCACTTGCCAAAGGAAAAAAATGCTTTAGTCCACTCACTCATCTTTGTTGAATTAATAGATTATAATAAAAAAATAAAGAAAAAGAAAATAAGAAATTAGAATAAATATAAGTGGAATTCATATCTTTGTGTCTAGTGGTAAGAAATTTGAATAAAAAATTCGTTTTGAGTATCTCATTTTCTATTTCCGTATGCGTATGCATAGGTCAAGAGGGAATGCTACACACCTTTGGTTTTCATGTTGCACAACCTCTTCCAACTTCCTAATCTTGGTTCAACCCTTCATTCATGTAAGTAGTTTTGATCTTACGCATTTCGCTAATAACACTCTCCATTTCCATTCGATCTCTTGGTGATTCCATTGAACATGCAACCCCAATTCGTAGAACGGAAATCATGCAGTCTTTAATTTGCCTTCTTGTGTTATGCTCCAATAGGATGCAAGGATCCACAATCTCCATCACTCGATCAGGCAAAGCATTTTTAACGAAGTTATGAAGATTTAGATGATCCTTAAACATATCATTAGTTGGTTTCTTACCAGTAAACATCTCCAGTAAAAGAATCCCAAAGCTGTATACATCCCCTAGAGTGGAAGCCATGTCTCTCATGCCATACTCTGCAAATTGTTGCCAATGTTAGTGTGAAAAATGAGTCTCGTTAGTTGGCATAGTTGTAATCCCAATGGATGTATTAATAATTCTTTTAATGAAACTCAACAAACTTTTATTGCTCCAATGTCCCTCTCAATAACAATATTTTTGTTTGTGTATGCAAGTGACTCTGTGAGATAATTGTTGAGAATGACATAGTTTAATTGTATTTTTTATTGAAGCATACAGAAATTAGTCTTACATGAGAAGTTCTGTCAGAATCAATTATACAAGTTTCGAAGCATTAAGTAAGTTTTTAGAAAATGATTTGGTAGCAAACTAGTATATTAATTCTTTCCACTAGTAGCTACCATGGACTATTTTGATTAGACTAAAATTTCATACTAAAATTACATTAAGAATATTTTTTATATTATTATTATAAAAAAGAAGGAGGCATCAAGGATTAACTCAAGTTTCCATAGCCAAATTCAAGCATGGCCACAATAAACGACGTAAACTTCAATGGTAATATTTATAGGAAGATTTAGTATGACCACATTAATAAAGTAAGCTTAGTATTTGGTTTGCTAACAGTGAGGACGTGGAAGCACACATTGGGAGCATTCATAAATGGTTGTGTATAAAAGTAATGCTTTAAAATATGTAGGCGCCCACTATTTCATAGAAGCCGGGGTTTGAATGTTTATGCTGAATATTTTGTAGAAGCCATGGTTTGAATGTTTATGCTGAAATGAATTCATGTGTGTGTAAATATATATATATATATATATATTGTTACTTTTCCTATTGCAAGTTCAGTTTTTCTAGTCCAAGGAAATTGAAAAGATTTTGTACCTGGAGCAACATAGCCTATGGTTCCCCTTATCACAATTGAATTGCTTTGACCTTGTGCCACGACACTTGAAGTGGTAGAAATAACTTTTGTTAACCCAAAATCTCCAATATGGGCCGTCATCTCATCATCCAAAAGAACATTACTTGGTTTTAGATCACCATGAATAATTGTCGACTCACAACCACAATGAAGATACCCAAGTGCAGAAGCGACATCAAATGAAATGTCCAGTCTTTGGATTAGTTTAAGATTTCTGGGTTCTTCTTGCTGCCCATGGTTTCCCACTCCAACTTGATGCAACCATTTATCCAAGTTTCCATTGGCCATAAATTCATATACCAAAGCTTTGAATTCATCACCATTGAAATCCACACTAGAACAAACACTCAAAATTTTCAATATATTTCGATGCCTTATCACTCTTAGTGCCTCACATTCTGTCATGAAGCTCCTAGAAGCTCCTCTGGTTTGAAGATTGAGCACTTTCACTGCCACAGCCATCTGAACTTGATCAAGAATCCCTTTGTAAACTGAAGCATAGCTTCCAACACCAATTAGATTAGCCTCTGAGAATCCATTGGTGGCTTTGAGAAGCTCTGCATAAGAAACCCTAAAAAATTGATGCATGATTGATGGCGTGCAAGAGGCCTCCTTTTTCGAAACATGACGCCGTTGAAGAAATATAAAGAAGCTAACTAACAGAGATAAAAATGTCACAAGAGCAACCACCAGTAGGGTCACTTTCATCTTGTGAGAGAGTTTATTCTTGCTTGAGTTGGAGGATGAACAAGGTGGAAGGTTTAATTTTGCAATACCTCCACATAGATCATTATTTTCAACAATTGAAATTGCACTTGAATTTCTGAACACTCCTCGCATGGGAACTTGTCCATGTAGCATATTAAAAGACAAATTCAACATATCTAATTGAAGCTCACCTAGATAACTTGGGATCAGCCCCGATAAATTGTTGCGTGAAAGATCCAATACTCTTAAGCCCCTCAACGTGCTCAAACTTTGAGGTATCTCTCCTTCAAATGAATTCGCCTCCAACAGCAGCCATTCCAGACTCAAACAACTACTCAGAGTGTTTGGTATGGATCCTGATAATCTATTATAGGACAAATCCATGACTGCAAGATTTTTCAAAGACCCAACTTCTAATGGAAGAGAACCAGTCAGTGCATTGTGATATAACAAGAGGAATGTTGAAAGGGAGGAGAGATTCATAATTTCACGGGGTATTGAACCATTGAGATTATTTTTATAAAGGTCTAATTCCAACAAGCTATGACAATTGCCCAAACTCGGAGGTATGCTTCCATGGATATTGTTTTGTCCCAAGTTGAGTGTAATCAACGAAGTCAAATTACCAAGCGAAGATGGAAGTTCTGTGAATTTGTTCTGGTCTAAGTACAGAGCATGCAGCTTTTGAAGTCTGCCGATGGAGGATGGAATAGGGCCAGAAAGATTATTTACTGCCATAGATAAGACAGTGAGGCTGAGGAGGTTCCCGATGCCTGAAGGAATGCTTCCATGTATTTGATTAAGCTCCAAATTTATCAAGCTAAGATATGTGGAGAGATTAGCTACAGAGTCAGGCAATGTACCACTGAGAAGATTTCTACCCACATCAATAAATTGTAGACTGGTGCAATTTGTTAGAGACAAAATAAAAGTGAGGTCATCTTGCAACCGATTTTGATCAACTGCTATCGTTTGAAGACCCATAAGTTTTCCAAGATCTCTCGGCATTGTCCCACTGAAATCATTCTCAGAGAAGACTATCCATTCAAGCTCCGAAGCGTTTGACAGTGTAGTAGGAAGTGTTCCAGTAAACGAATTGTTCACAAAATAAAGAAACTTGAGATTAGGAAGTGTGGAGCCTATATCATGAGGAATATTTCCTTCAAGTTGGTTTTCGGTTAATGATAACAAAATGATGGTGGAGACATTGTAAAGTCCAGATGGAACCTTACCAGATAGTTTATTCTGCGATAACTGGACAAATGTCAGGCCTCGAAGCTTAGTAATTTCCCCCGGAATCTCCCCTTGCAGATTACATTCCGCCAAAGAGAGTTTTGAAAGAGATGAGAGGTTTCCAATGGACGGAGGGATGGTTCCTGAAAGCTTGTTTTTACTCAAGGCTAAAATTCCAAGCCTTGACAAAGAGCCCAACTCAGCTGGGATGTTTCCGGTTAGGTTGTTGTCAATCAAGTTCAGCCATTCAAGTTTTGAGCAGCGAGAAAGGTTGTTGGGTATTCCGCCGCCAAACGAATTGTTGCTGAAGTGTAGTGTTTGTAGCCGAAACAAGCGACCCATCTCCTGTGGGATTGGGCCGTGGAAGCTATTGTTTTGAAGAACGATGCTTTTGAGGAAGGAGAGGTTTCCTACATGAGGTGAGAGTGATCCAACCAGGCCTTGGGACGTTAGAGTTATCCCAATAACTCTATCAGGATGTCGACGACTACACAAAATGCCGTTCCAGTGACAGTGGTGGACTGAATGATTCCAGGAAGTGAAGGCACCAAATGGGTCTTCAACTATTGCAGCCTTGAAGGCCACCAATGCAAGCCGATCCGTCTCATTTGCCATGAAGCAACTGGCTGCAGGGATGTTGCACAAGAAGTAGCACCACCACCACACAAGGGCAGTGTAGAGCACAATAAACGAGCTTGCCATGATTTTTTTATTAAATTTTTTTTTTCTTGATGAATTAGGCACTTACATATGATGGTGTGCTTAGTGTGTAATGTGCATATATAATTTGAAATTTCCCAACTATGGCTTCCAGCTAGTTCTTGGTTTTTGGTCAATTATTATACTACTGTTAAAATGTGACCATTAAAAAAATTATTAATTAAAGACCTCCCTAAACTAACGTTTACTAGAGATATAGTAATTAAGTAGGTGGATTCCCTACTTAATTAAAAAAAAAACATGACCGCACATGGGTGGAATCCTTCACAAAGAGGATAAGATCGGTTCATTCTGCAATTGGGTTCACAAAGAGGATAAGATCGGTCCATTCTGCAATTGGGTTCCTATTCTGCCATACAACAAGCTGTTGTGGATGTTAGTCCTGAATCTTTTTCAATAATTCGATCCGGTCATATTGCAAGTTTTGTTGAGAAGATCATTCATATAAAAAATCAAATTGATTGGATATCTACAGTTCCATAACAAGAACATATTTATTTTTTAAAAAATAAACGGTTAATATAATTTTGATAATTTTTTAAAAACAATTAGGACTTGATCATAGGCCTACAGATGTTTAATTAATTTGATTTTTTTCATAAATCATATAATCGATGAATTGTACAATATCAACCGTTCGGACCATAAGAACAAATCCGGTATCAACCATCATGAAAGGTCACAACAGGGGATTGTGACTGGAAGTAATAGCAGCATCCCTTGTCCGTCCCTCCTACGCATGTCTTTGGGGAATTGGGATCCTCCCCTTGAGGCCCCTCCTTCATTCCCTCCTTGTAGGGGCCTTCGGGTCCACTTTGAGGCCCAGTTTTGATAATCCGAACCGTTCATATTTTTAGATTTATTCAGTATATCATACCTGTAAAAAATCAAGTTGATCGAATATCATAAAGTATGTGTTCGGAAAACTGTTTATTAAAAAATAGTTTGTAGTCCCAATTTTCTGAACGCATACTTTCTGATATCCGATCAACTTGATTTTTTACAGGCATAATATACTGAATAAATCTAAAAATATGAACGGTTCAGATTATCAAAACTAGACATCAAAGTGGACCCGAAGGCCCCTGCAAGGAGGGAATGAAGGAGGGGGCTCAAGGAGGGGATCTGGACTCGTCTTTGGGAGGAGCAATTATTGTAAATTTGTAATCCGTGTCTCTTTTTAAAAAGACTTATGATCGTCGATGTGTAATCCGTATCAGCTATATATTTATTTTTTCGCTTATTAATTATTTATTTATATTCAATTATGGGTGATAATTATAGAAAGCAGATACCCTCTATTCCAAATCGGGTGTTGTTTGGATGTAGTTTTAATAATTTAAATGTTCATTTTGTAAGACTTTTCGTATATATTATCCTTATAAAAAATTAGGTTGATATGATAATCATAATATATTCAATTTGTTACATTTGTAATAAAAAAAAATTGATAGTCTAAAAAACAAATATAAGATTTGTTTGAGAAGTGGGTTAACTTTTTGACTTTTTGACTGTTTTGGCTATTTTAGCCTCAGGCTAAAAAGCCTCGTTTGGAAAGGACTTTTGGCTTTTTTGACTTTTTTGTGAGAGGAAGAATGTAATGATTATGGATTGGATGTGATGTTTTGTCTTATTGGGCTAAAAAGCTTATATTATTTTTGTAACTAAAATAGCCAAAAAAAGCCTCAAGTTTGGCTTCCCAAACAAAGCCATAATAACCTAATATGTTCAATTTGTCATCATTTTTTTAAAAGACAAATATAATAAATTAAATACGCTACAATTAGCAGATAAACCTAATTTTTTAAAAATGATTTACACAAAGAGCATTACAAAATAAATGGATCAGATCATCGAAATGAGTCTTGTAAACAGGCTTTATTGACAACACCCTCCAACTCAAGTCATAAATGGGAGGGAAGCCCATCCCATAATTATAATAGTCTTAATTAGGGAAGATAAACGAATCAAACAACTTGAACTTGACATATGTTTAGTTCGTTAAAATCTTAATTTGTTAAGTAAACAAGTCAATCTTAAATATTATAGTCCTTAAAGTTTTCAAACGAAATTTGAATATTCAATTGCTCGTTTGGCTTGACTTGATAAACCTAACACTACATAAAAATGGGACTCAACAAAATCTTATTTAAAATCAGCTCAAAAATTTAACAAATCAAACTTAACAAATTTTAAACTCATTAAAGTTTTCAAATCAAATTTAAACGGTTAATGATTTAAATTGGGATATAGTAAAGTGCTTGGAGATGTTGTTAGAGCATCTCCAATTATTATTAATGTTAAAATTATAATTTTTGTATTTTATAGTAGTAAAAAAATACCAAATTATAGCAATATTATTCTAATGGTCACATGTCATTTTGGCATAATACCAACTAATTTTTCAATTTTTTTTGGGTGATGTTTGGATTTAATTTTTTGAGTGATTTTTTTGTCTTTTATGATCTTTTTAAAACTTTTTTTGAAAAAAAAAAAAAAAAAAAAAAAAAAAAAAAAAAAAACTATAGGTTTACGTTTTACACAACTAGTCAAATAAAAAAAAAAAGAAAAAAAGAAAAGAAAAGAAAAAAATGAAGGCATTCTTCTAATTCACCCGTCATTAAGATAACTTATCAAGATAAATTATATTTTGTCCTTTATATATTTTACTATTTTTTTACATTAGCTTTCAAGTTTTTTTTTTTAAAATTTATTCATAAAGTTAATTTTTTTCATCTAAAATTAAATAAAAAATAAAAAATTTAATTTAAGATCTTGATATTAAACTTTTATAAAATAAAGGACATGCAATATTTTCATAGCAGTTGGGGTCGTCGTCACAAAAAAATTTGTCACATAGAATTTTTTTTTTGTTACAAACTAAAATTTCTCTAATAATATTATTGACAGATCTTAACTAATAAGAAAAAAAAATATTGGACCTCTACTACTACCAAAAGTTGAAGAGAAATGTTTCACTAATTTCTCCATAAAAAATAGGACTTACGTGTTGGTCCTAATAAATAGACTTATTATCCAATAGGTCCTACGATAATTAATGACATTTTTCATTAAACACTATTAAAAAAAGTCACTAATTGTTAATTTTCAGCGACAATATGAAAAATTTTGTCACAAAAAATGTAACTAAATATAAAAAAAATCGTCACAAAAAAGTGTCACCAATTCACAACTTTTAGCGACAATTTAAAAGATTCCTTACAAAAAAAAGTAACTAATTGTTAGTTGTAGCGACCATTCATAAAAATCATGACAAAAAAAGTCACTAATTATTAATTTTTAGCGACATATGTAAAAAATCGTCACAAAAAAATTATTTTTAGCGATGATTTTACTAAGACTTATTTTCATAGGACTTGATGGGGAATTAAGTCCAATTATTAGTGTCATGACCCCGTGGGTTACGGACATAACCGACCAGTAATCATGAGATTACCTACGGCCTCAAACCAAAACAAATGTATTTTTAACAGAGATATTGGGGGCCAACGGAAGCAGTTCAAAACTTTATCCATAGAGTTGTGCTTACATGGCACATCCATACAACCAAACACATATACATTAATAACTCACAACAGAAATGCAGTAGCATAAGTTCTGTACAAACAGGATCATCCAAAACTAAGGCAACCCATGACAACTATATACAGACATATGTAAAGTCCTCGCCAACATGACAAAAATAAAATAGTATAGCAGAAAGGCGAAGACAGGTCTCGTGCGTGAGATACTAGGGCTGACTCTCCAAAACTCGGTTGTTCCACACAGACTTCACTGGGGCTAGGTCTGGACCTCTCTTGGCTCACCTACAAACACATGAATAAGGGTGAGCGATAGCCCAGTGAATAATATCAAACAAGAAGATACAAACAATATGTAGAACAACATACTCCGAACGGCCTTGGGCTCAATTCACATTTTTGTTTCACATTTATATACGCAATTTAAGTCAAGTGATTGTGCCCATTTATCTTTTATTCATGTCAAACGGCCTCTGGCCCACTTATTTGTATCAAAACAGCCTCGGCCCATCCATTCATGTCAAAACGGCCTTCGGCCCATTCATTCATGTCAAAACGGCCTTCGGCCCAATCACTTATGTCAAAATAGCCTTCGGCCCAATCATTTATGTCAAAACGACCTTCGGCCCAATCATTTATGTCAAAACGGCCTTCGGCCCAATCATTTATGTCAAAACAGCCTTTGGCCCAATCATTTATGTCAAAACGACCTTCGGCCCAATCATTTATGTCAAAATGGCCTTCGGCCCAATCATTTATGTCAATCGGTTGTCCATAATTCAAACGAGTAAACTGGTAGAAAAATAAGCAATTGGACAATTGACAAACTTCAAAATATCGATGTTACTCACAGTGATTGGTTGGTTGGTTTACCCTGGAGCTCGACCCTACACAGTCCACGCACAAAAGGATCACTAATAATTCAATCCGTTCTTAAATTCACATTTTCCTTTTTAGGCTTTATTCTTATCTCTTTAATTCAATTACAATGCTCAATGCATGCCTAAGAGTACTTAGAAGTGAAAGAGAACAGAAAACGAAACTCAGAATGCATAAACAAAATTTTAGAAAATAGGGTCCCCGCTCGAGCGTGGGCCTCCCCGCTCGAGTGGACCCTTGAGGCCTGCAAAAGTACAGGGAGCATCAAAATTACGCTCGAGCTTGAAGTCTACCGCTCGAGCGGAAGGCCTCTCTTCGTGGCTCCCTACTCGAGCGTGAAATTACCCCGCTCGAGCGGTTGCCATGTCTGCAAAAAGTGCTGAATGCATCATTTTTACGCTCGAGCGTGAACTCGGACGCTCGAGCTGAAGGTCTGTCTACATAGCTCCCCGCTCGAGCGTGGACTTTCCCACTCAAGCAGACATCCAAGTCTGCAAAAATACTGGGAGCACGAAATTCACGCTCGAGCGGCAGTTTCCCCGCTCGAGCAGACATCAAAATTCTGGAAAACTCAGAATTGTTCTTAGGCTTCAATTTCGATGTTCAAGGGGTTCAATTCATGATTTCAGTTCCAAAAACATAAAAACACATTATATTACACGAGAGTGTGAGGA